AGGAGGGAGGAGAGGAAATAAAGTGAAGTTCGGGGTCAAGAAGATGAAGGACGAGTTAATGGAGAAGGCAGGGGAAGAACTGAAAAAAAGGAAGAAAAGAATTGAAGAGAGAAGTGAAAAAGAGCGAGAGTGGAATGAAGTTGAGAAAATGAGAGACGAGTTAATAGAGAGGAGAAAAGTTGAGAAAAGTGGGAAAAAAAAGAGAGAGAGAGAGAGAGAGAGAGAGAGAGCGGAGTAGAAAAGAAGCGAGAATGGAGTGAAGTTCAGGACAAGAAAATAAGAGGTGGGTTAATGGAGAAGATAGAAGTGAGAGAGAGAGAGAGAAGAGAGAAGAAAAAGAAGAAAAGGCGGAAGAACTGAAAAATGAGTGAGAGAAAAAAAAGTGAATGGAGTTGGGATAAAGTGGAGGAGGAAGTGGAAGGGAGAAGGAGCAAGACGCATAGGGAAGTCGCGCAAGTATGCACTTGAGCGTTCGGTTCGTTCGCAATCTCAGGAGTTTGCATCCGGCTGGATGCACACCAAGTAGTGCACGAGTTCGAAAGGGGGAGTCCGGGTGCACAGAGATACGGAAGCTTACGAAGCCAACGAGACGTGGCACCGGTTCGTGGGACACACGAATCTCGGCAGGCTAGGGTTAACGAGGCTGTGGAGAACGGACAATAATGAATCTCGAAAAGGAAAGGAAATATCGCTCTCCTCAACTTCGACTAATGGTGGCAGTCGTCTCCCTCTTCAACCTCTTGCTCCTTAATGTTCGACCAGAGTTTACCATTGTACCATTGTGTGTGCGTTATGCACATCCTTTGGTGGAAGGTACTATGCGATACTCAAGAAAAGAATGTTTAGCGTGTTCTGCCATAGAAACGAATTTAACCTGAAGCACCCTCCTCTTTGAAGAGTCCGCGGGCTTAATTAAGTCACGTATACTTACGTGAGATGAGTGAGAAACGGAGAAAGTTGAGCCGTAAAGCGCACTCGGCAGTCTTTTGAAAAAATTTAGGGAAAAATCTTCGTCGATAGATCGGAACGCTATATTCTTTGGTTAATATTTTTTTTTTTTTTCTATCCTGCGACCATCTCGACTAACTTTCCGATATACTTTTCCTTTTCTCTCTCTCTCTCTCTCTCTCTCTCTCTCTCTCTCTCTCTCTT